CGAGTTAAAATGTGATATTTTCGACTAAACATTCGATTGTGGCAAAACTTGATCAAAACACGTTATATTGGGCAACAAGACGAAGAAGACATTCAAGAAATAGACAAAAATACACGGTTAGAACAAACATGCGACTATATCATCTATATTAACCATATAAGCTTATTTGAGAATTTAAACTTACATGAATAACAACGTCAAACAGTAACAACTCAAATCAGCACGCCTGATATCGATAAAATTTAGCAGATCCTTGAAACGATATTACGACTAATCCACGAAAACAAACCCAGCACAATGATTTTCCAACGCTAACAAAACACAACATGGAAATAGATGAAGAGAAAAGCCAGCGGAGAAGAGGTTACCTTTTCCGGGTAGCGAACGAAGACGAGAAACTTAAGCAGAGGGACGCGACTTCTACCACAAAACTTGACCACGAACAGTGAAACGAGAGATCTGGACAGAATGTGAGCAGTTCTCTATTCGGGAGCGTATTTCGAGTGTGTTACTACCTTTTCTTAATCCTTTGCTCTGTATTTCCCGTCAATAATTTTTTTCCCAACCACCTACAGTGAAATAAAATGGGTTTATATAGATGGGAAAAATTGGGGTTCGTTTGGGTGTTTAGGGAAAAAAATTCAAGTGAGAACGAGGGTAGAATCGAAATTCTCCACAAATTCCCAAAATCAAAATCTTCACCAGGACCAAAGAACAATTGGGTTTTGTATGAGATTTCATCCAAAATTCGGACGAGAAGCATCGTTGTCGGCTTCGATTCAACTCGATCCCCCTTGTGCTTGACGTGACGCCATCTCGTAGCCACAAGGGCGATTGGACGCGGCTGGCAAGACTGGAAAGGGTTGGTGAGGGCAGACACTTGCTCTTTTCGTGAATTCCACCGTTCGACTGTTGCTAATTTGACATTTTGGAGTGCTGCGTTTGGGTCCTCTTTGTTAACGTTGGAAAGAAATGAAAATGGGGCGGGTCAATTCTGGCTGGGTTTCGCATTTGGTTCTCGCAGAGAAGAAGAGAAAAACGCAGGGGTAGGGTCATTTGGCTACTGCTGTACGTGTATCTATTTGCTGTTGTATGGTATTGTTGTTGAGTTGTTTTGGAACGTGTTTGGTGGGCTTTTGGGCTGAGGATGAGATAACGAATGGGCTGGGAGTTGTTGGGCTAGCATTTTGATATTGTTATGTATTTGATGGGTATTGGGTCTTAAAGAATTGAAGTACAAAATAGGGAATGACTATATTTGTAATTGAATTACAATTGTAACCAATTTTTAAGTCGAAACTCTAGCCAAATTGAATTAGATTGGCGAACTCGGTTGATGACAAAAATAAAATGAAATAATATAATTAATTTATGTGCTTCTTAATCTTAACGAAATAAAATAGTTAATTTAATTATAAACTAAATAATTCAAAATAATAGCCATAATTTAAACTAAACTAATTTAATAAAGTACTTACTAAAATTAAAATCTTTTTGAGACGATTTTCGAATATTTAAGAAACACTAATTATACATATCATTATAAAATACTATAAAAATTGACTAGATTTACTTAAAGTAACCTCAAGAAATATATGAATTTTATAAAACTAATTATTCTAAATCACTTGAAAATTGAGAAGCTCGTGAATTAATTTCTATCGGGGAGGGTCAAAATTGGGTGTCTACAACTATCCCTCATTTTACTTGGATTGATGCAAGAAATTCGAGGAAAATGAAATTGACTAATACAATTTTGATCGACCACATCTTCATCTTTTCTGAAAAGGGATTTTGGTACAAACTTTAGGAATTATGGCCGAACCCCAAAATTGGGTTTCCTACATATCTTAGGCTATATGAGAATTCAGGTCACTTGTAGTTCGATACGTTTGATTTGACGCACAATTATGAAAGAATTCGAAAGCTATCCCAATATCGAATTATGAAGAGATCAAAATGCTCGAGAATGAGATTTAATAGTGGATATCGGAATGCAGTCGAGTTTCAACACTGATCCTGCCTACATATCCCTTAACCTAGGGAATCAGGCTGCTTGTAGTTTGACTCGATCGGTTGAAAAAGGAAATCGCTTATGCTAAGATAACCTTTGGCTCTGGAAAAGAGACAAAGTAAGTCGAGTATGAAAAGGAGGCTTGCAACCCCTTATCCATGAATGTGGCATGCTTCATACCCACAAATAAGAACTTACACGAACGTAATTTCCAACACTCTTAGAGAATTGTCACTCGGATTGGAAGGTTGCTTCCGGTGAGAACCAAAATTCTCCGGATGTGAAATTGAAACCAATAAACCTAAAGAAAAACCCACATGCCTTCTAATATGGGTGTGGTTTGATTGTGGTGAAAGTCTCTCCTCAGCTCGCATTCCAAGAGTTTGACACTCCTCTTTGGACAACGTCCCAAATCGCTACTAAGAAAAGTTCCACGTTGTGCTGCATCCTTTTTTATGTAGTTCGTACCTATGGTTTGTTTTTGAGAATTCATCCTATCGGATGCTCTCGACAAAGATTGAGATAAAATTCATTAGCATAAAAAATGCAATTCAAATGGGGAGATAGTGTCTTTTACCATGTTGACACTTAATTACTCTCCTTGAACATTTGACATCAGCTTCCCCTAATTTGACGTAGAGCAATTAAGCTTGTATGTCATGTTTGCAATATAATCTTCAATGTATTTTTCCTTTGATGTTGAAGTAATAAAATAGGTGTATGTAATATTTTGATAGTTCTCTTGATGTCGTTGTTAATTGTTCTCTTGATGTTGTTCTTGCAAATGAAAAATGATGCAGCTGATGTTGATTTTCTTGCGATGCATGACTTCTCCCGCTATGCATGAAGATAATGCTTCTTTGAAAAATACAGGTGATGTTTCTTTGAAAATCGTAGCTGATGATGTTCTTTCTGTGATGCATGAATTTTTATTTTTTCTTGCGATGCATGATTTCCTTCTCTTGCTATGCATAAATCTCTTTTTCGCGATGCATGACTTTTCTTGCAATGCATGAATTTTTTCTCTTGCTATGTATAAATCTCTTTTCCGCGATGCATGACTTCTTTCCCGCGATGCATGGCTTTTTCTCCTGCAATGCATGAATCCTTTCCAGCGATGCATGAATCTTTTCCAGTGATGCATAAATTTTTCCCTTGCTATACATGACTTCTTCCTCTCTCTATGCATGAATCTTCCACTTGCTATGCATGAATCTTCCTCTTGCGATGCATGCCTCTTTCTCTTGCTATGCATGAGTTCTTCCTCTTTCTATGCATGAATCTTCCTCTTGCTATGCATGAATCTTCCTCTTGCTACGCATGAATATAGTAATGATGTCTCCCGATACCGAACGAGGATAATGCTTCACCGAACAATGTAGGTGACCTTCTAGGTATCTTATGGTGACGTCATTGTATTTTGACAATAATAAAAATGACCCTCGAAGTAGTGGTATCATCTCATTTGACAATACGATATAGATGACTCTATGGATAGGAATATTATCATATCTGAAAATATGATGTAGATTACTTCCTTCGAGTATTTTTAGTTGTTGGAAAACGATATAATTTCTCTCTTCGGGGATTCCATTTGCTCCATCTTCGAACATAATCGTGTGTTCATTATGGACATTGCCTTGCTGAGTATTTGAATGAAATAATGTTACTCATATCCTCGATTCTTTGGTATAAGAAGCATAAAACTTTTCCTGCATCCACAAAAATATTGTTAATTTTGGGGAGCTCCTAGCCCTTTTGACTTCTCCATATTCATTGCATGGAGGAATATGCTGATCTTGAGGTAAACTTATAGACCTGCATCCACAGAAATATTGTTAGTTTAAAGAATGAACTGGTCTGTGTCGATTTCTTCGGTTGTCTGCTCCTTGTCTGACTATCTCCGGTTCATCTTTCTGATCTCCCGCTTCTTGATAGATAAGACAAAACATTTTTATGCAAAAAATTTTGAAACACGAAAGAAAAGTTTTTTTAAGAAAAACAGATTTTCAAAAGTAATGTTTGGAAAAGGTCATTGCCAAGTCTCATGTCACTTCGAGCTTTAGTGGACGCCTTTGAAGTTGATGCTTTGAGGTCTATCAGATTACTTGTTGGGAAGTATTCAAAGTTGCTCTAAACTGCCGATAAACCCTGTTGAAATTTTGAGGCCATCCTCAAAATTTCTGTCCCAGTTAACTGTCTTGGCTTATCTTTAACTGTTGTTGAGCAAATCACGGATATTTTGAGATCCTCTCAAAAATTCCGTCCCAGTTGCAAATCTCAAAGTAGCTTCAGGCTCGACTTTGTTGGAGATATGACTGAGTCGTTGTGGCGCCTACGTATCCCGTTGAGGCAGGAATCAGGTCAAACGTAGTTCCCCTCTCGAGGACTAACAAAATAATAAATTTACAAGGAAATCAACCAAGGCCGACATAGGCCGCCTACGTATCTCGTTCTTGAGAATTCAGGTCGAACGTAGTTCAAGTACAAAGAAATATTAAAAGGGATAAAATGGGTGACCGAGGCCGACATAGGCCGCCTATGTATCTCATTATTGAGAATTCAGGTCAATAGGGATACAATTTAAAACGATGTGATTACAAGCAAATAGAAGGATTACAAGGAAATGACAGAAAATTCAAACTGAAAGTTCACACATAGTATCTCTTGACAGCATTTGAGTTGATCAGTTTTGGCCATTCGGTGCCATCCATCTCCGACAGGACCAGGGCGCCTCCAGATAACACTTTACGAACCATGTAAGGTTCTTGCCAATTTGGTGCAAATCTCTCTTTGTACTCATCCTGATGAGGGAAAATGCATTTGAGAACCAACTGACCAATTTCAAATATTCTGGCTCTTACTTTCTTGTGGAAAGCACGAATCATTCTCTGTCGATACTGTTGTCCATGACAAACAACCACCATTCTTTTCTCATCAATCATTGTTAACTGATCAATACGCTTGCGAACTCATTCAGCATCACTCAATTCAGCTTCTTGGATGATTTCAACGAAGGTATTTCAACTTCGGCAGGTATAACTGCTTCTCTTCCATATACTAGCAAATATGGAGTAGCTCCAACTGATGTTCTGACAGTCGTTCGGTAGCCCAACAAAGCATACAACAACATCTCTCATGCCAACCTCTACGATTATTAATTATTTTCCTCAAAATCTTCTTGATGTTCTTGTTGGCGGCTTCTACAGCTCCATTCATTTGGGGACGATAGGAGGTTGAGTTCCGGTGAGTAATCTTGAATTGTTCACATATCTCTCTCATCAAGTGACTGTTGAGATTCGCTCTATTATCAGTAATGATGGATTCTGGTACACCAAACCTACATATCAAATTGTTGCAAACGAAGTCAGCTACAACTTTCTTGGTTACTGACTTGTACGAAGCTGCTTCCACCCACTTGGTAAAGTAGTCAATGGCAACGAAAATGAATCTGTGTCTGTTGGAGGCGACTGGCTCTATTGGACCAATGACATACATGCCCCAAGCTAGAAATGGCCAAGGTGAACTCATAGCATTGATTTCGTGAGGTGGGACTCGAATCAAATCACCATGCATTTGACATTTGTGACATTTCTGTACAAACTTGCAACAATCATGTTCCATAGTCATCCAAAAATAACCGGCCCGAAGGATCTTCTTAGCCAAAGTGAGCCCATTCATGTGAGTACCACAAACTCCGACGTGTATTTGTTCCAGAAGCTTTGCAGCTTCACTAGCATCAACGCATCTGAGAAGACCTAAATCTGGAGTCCTCCTATAAAGGATTTCCCCACATGCAAAGAAATTGAGGGCCATACGGCGTATCGAATTCTTCTGGTTGAACGTTGCATTCTAAGGATAAGTCTCGATCTCTAAATATTTCTTGATATCAAAATACCAAGGTAAATCATCTGGTTCCGCTTTAACATGTGAACAATAGACATGCTGCTCTTTTATCTCTATATCCACTGGATCAATATAACTTGTATCTGGATGTTTAATCATTGATGCGATGGTGGCAAGAGCATTGGCCAACTCATTCTGTGTCCTGGGAGTGTGCCTGAATTCAATCTTGTGAAATTTCTTGCACAACTTCTGTATATACTGCACATACGGCGTGATCTTTGGGTTCTTCACGGCCCATTCTCCTTGGTCCTGGTGAATTAGCAAATCTGAATCTCCAATGACCAGCAACTCATGAACATTCATATCAATGGCCATTTTCAGACCAAGGATACAAGCTTCATATTCAGCCATGTTGTTCGTGCAATCAAATCGAAGTTTAGCCGCCATAGGGTAGTGTTGACCAAATTCTGACACTAAGACCGCTCCGATACCTTTCCCTTGGTGATTTGCCGCTCCATCAAAGAACACTCTCCAACTAGGGTATGCTTCAGAAATATCTTCACCCACAAATGCAACCTCTTCATCGGGAAAATAAGTTTTGAGCGGTTCATACTCTTCATCGACTGGATTCTCTGCAAGATGATCAGCCAAGGCCTGTGCTTTTATTGCCCTTTGTGTCACATACACAATGTCAAACTCACTCAAAAGCATTTGCCACTTAGCCAACTTCCCGATCGGCATTGCTTTCTGGAAAATATACTTCAACGGGTTCATTCTGGAGATAAGGAATGTGGTATAAGAAGATAGATAATGTCTCAACTTCTGAGCAATCCAGGTCAAAGCACAACACGTCCTCTCCAAAAGAGTGTAACGGACCTCATATGGAGTGAATTTCTTGCTCAAGTAATAAATGACTCGCTCTTTCTTCCCAGTTTCGTCATGTTGACCAAGCATCCAAATGCGTTATTCGAGACAGACAAATACAGCAACAGTGGACTTCCCTCCCGTAGAGGAACCAATACCAGTGGATTGGACAAATAGTTCTTGATGGCATTAAAAGCAGTTTGACATTCTCCGGTCCACTAGATCAAAGCATGTTTTCTCACCTATTTCTTGGTCTTCGGAGAAGGTAATTCCGGAATCACTTTGATCTTGGAAGGATCAAGTTCAATGCCTCTTCTGCTAACTATGAATCCCAAAATTTTTCCAGATGGCACTCCAAAAGCGCATTTAACGGGATTTAGTTTCAAATTGTATCGACGCAGGCGATCAAAGAATTTCCTCAGATGAGTCAAGTGATCTGAACTCTCGCGAGATTTGATTATGACATCATCTACATACACCTCGATCTCTTTATGAATCATATCATGAAAGATGGTTGTCATAGCCCTCATATAAGTAGCGCCCGCGTTCTTGAGACCAAAAGGTATCACTCGGTAATGATATACACCCAGGGGGTGATGAAAGCTGTCTTTTCTGCATCTTTTTCATCCATCAAGATCTGTTGATAGCTCGCATAACAATCCACAAACGACTTCATTTCATGTTTAGCATAGTTAGCAATGAGAATGTGGATGTTTGGCAATGGAAAATTATCTTTCGGGCTAGCTTTGTTGAGATCTCTGTAGTCAACACAAATTTTGATTTTTTCGTCTTTCTTGGCAACCGAAACAACGTTGGCTAACCAAGTCGAATATTGCGTCACTTCTACTACTTGAGACTCGATATGTTTGGTAATCTCCTCTTTGATCTTTAAACTCAACTCAGGCTTGAACTTCCGAGTCTTTTGTTTTACTGGACTGAAATCTAGATTAATCGGCAACTTATGGGACACCATATTCGTAATCAGCCCCGTCATATCTTTGTAAGACCATGCAAATACATCAATGTATTCTATAAGCAAACGGACCAAGTCCTTTCTTTGAGCTTCGGTCAGGTGGACACTGATTCTGACTTCTTTGACACATTCCTCATCTTCGAGATTCACAGTCTCAATTTCTTCAAGATTTGGCTTGTGTTGATTCTCAAATTGTTAAAACTCTTTAGCAACATGTTCAGGTACTTCAATTTATTCTTCGTATTCCTCGCACACATCATCACCTTCCCCGAGACCACCATCGTTGACATATTGTCGCACTGGGAATGACTGGTACAAATGAGGAATTGGCCTGACCAATGCTTGATCAATACTCTTGTTATTCATCTCTGATTCGTCATCTGTTGGGACATATCCCAAAATAAACTTTGCTCCTTTGACAGGGATTTGGATAGGCTCGACAATTCCTTGAAAATGCTTCCTCAATCCGAAATCTGGTTTGAAACTGCTCCGGAGCATAACAGTAGCGATCATCTTGTACACGGAAGGCATAGGAGGCTATGGAGCAAAGTCATCACTGGTGGCATATACCAGCTCCACCGTGTAGAAATCACAACCTCGAGAGACATCATCAATGATCGGCACATACCCGTCGAAATGGCTCCCTTCACCATGAATGACCAATTCCTGTTCCTTCCACACGAATTTCATCAGTTGGTGAAGAGTAGAGGGCACAGCCCCAGCCCTGTGGATAACTGGTCTTCCTAGCAGGTTGTAACTAATGTTGATATCCAACACCTGAAACTCTACATTGAATTCTGCATGACCCATCTGAATATCCAAGTTTACTACCCCTATCGTGTCTCTCTGCACTCCATCGAAAACTCTCACATTGACTTGGTTTTGTTGAACCTTTCCCAAGTCAAAATTCTACTGCTTGAGAGTCGAAAGCGGGCATATGTTGAAACCGGACCTATCGTTGACCAAAACACGATTTATAATTTTGTCCCGGCATTTGATTGTGACGTGCAGAGCTTTGTTATGCATCCTGCCTTCAAAGGGCAGTTCTTCGTCGTAAAAACGGATTCAGTGTCCTCGAGTGACCTGGTTTATTATGGCTGCTAGATTGTCACTGTTAGTACTCGCATGCACATAAGTATCATCCAAAGCTCTCATCAGAGCCTGCCTATGCATTTGTGAACTCATCAACAAGGCCCATACAGAAATCTGAGCCGGCGTCTTCTCCAAATGATTCACAATCGAATAATCTTTCTGCTGCATTTTTCTCCAGAACTTCTCGGCCTCGGCTTCACTGATCAACCTTTTTGTTTGGTCCTTCTTCTGCCCTCCTTTAGCCAACTCTTCCGGTGTGTAACATCTACCAGATCTGGTCATGCCTTGAGTGGCAGCCGTTTCAATCACAAACTTTGGTTGGGCAAGATTTTCTCTTGGCACCAAGGCAACAACCTTCTCGGGTGTCAGAATCACAAACTTTTTATTCTCTCTAATGCTCAATGAGGCTACAACCTTTTCCAGTTCATCAGGAGCAATCAGAATTATTGCATTTGTCACACACCAATCATCATCTGTCTCTATCATATTGATAGTGACGCTTCCATGACTTGGCAAATGATTACTAATGACATTGGGCGCAACCGTCTGAAGAGAGACCACGATCTGGTCAATCAGGTCTTGGATCTTATGCTTCAGGTTGATGCAGTCCTTGGTATCATGTCCAATACCGTTGGAGTAATATGCGCACCTCTGGTCAGGTCTGTAAAACTTTGAGCTAGTGTCAACCGGCTTGGACCCTACTGGATGAATATATCCTGCCGCAGTTAATCGCTCGAATAGCTTTGTTCGACTTTCGATGAGTGGAGTGAAATTTCTAGCAGGCTTCTTCTCAAATCTAAGGCGGGGGGGGGGATCATAATTGCCATGTTGAGGGGGAGGCATTTGGCGATAATCTAGAGCGTTTAGACGGGGGGCTTGATATCTAGGATAGGAATTTGTTGGGTAATTTGGTTGTGGAGCTTGGTAGGTGGATGGATTATTTTGGTATTATGGAGTTAGGGTTTGGTACATTGAGGGAGGCATTTGATAATTTGCTTGAACATTGGCACAGTTGGGGGGCGATATTTCGGTAGTGATGAGATAGAGTCTGGTAAACTGGAGGGGGAGTTTGGTAGATAGGAGGGGGAGTATTTTGATAATTGGGGAGAGGGGGATTTTGGTAATCAATCTGTGCATAACAAGCCGGGTATGAACTCTGTGAAGGTCGAGAACGACCTTGGTATGAAGAGGATTTCCTTGGGGTCTTCTTCCCCTTATAAGAGATAGAAAATACATCTTCTCTTTTCTTCTTCAACAATCCCGAGGATCCGAGCGAGGCAGCAACACGGGCAATCTTCCCGGTTCTTAATCCATCTTCGATAGTCTCACCTACTTTGACTATCTCAGCAAACTTCCCTCCAACGAGCAACATGATTCTATCATAATATTAGAGATCTTGAGCCCACACAAATACTTCGACAATTTCCTCTTAAGACATAGGAGGCTGAACTCTAGCTGCCTCCTTTCTCCATTTATATGCAAATTCTCTGTAACTTTCATTTGATTTTTGCTTCATTTTTTCTAAGGAATAACGATCAGGAATGATCTCCCCATTGTATGTGAATCGTTCGATAAAGTCCTTAGCCAGAGCATTTCAGCTAGGCCACTGTCTTGTTTCATAAGATGTAAACCATTCCATAGCCTCTCCACTCAGACTTTGGCTAAAAAACCGCATCAGTAAAGCTTCTTCTCTTCCAATTCCCACGAGCTGGTCACAGTAGGCCCTCAGGTGCGCTAAGGGGTTCCCTATTCCTCCGCAAACGTCAAATTTTGGCACCTTGAATCCTTCTGGGAGGTCCAAATTCGGATGAATGCATAAATCCTCATAACTCAAACTGACGACTTCAGGAATACACTGCAACTCTCTCATGGCCTTTTAGATCTCTTCCTTCATATTCAGCTTGGCGGCCTCTTCCTTTGACTCCACTCTCTCTCTCTCGCTTTTCATAGTGGTCGACCTCAGAACCATTGGCGTCATGCTAATTGGGAATCGGGATTTGAAAAGTGGCCTTTTGAGGTAGGGTGGAGCAATGGAGGGACTCTGGGCATTTTGAGGGGCGTGATAGTTTTGGGGGAAAGTCTGGGGGCTGGTATACTGATTTTGGTGAAGGAGGGAAGTTTGCGGGTTGTTAACATTTTGGTTTTGAAGGGGTGGACCAGTTTGGAGGTTGGAGTTTTAAGGAGGAAGTGGCACTTGGAGGTTGGTATTTTGAGGAGGGGCAGTGTCTGATAAGAGGCGGAGGCATAATGGAGATTTTGGGTGGTTAGGTCGATGATTTAGGGGTTATGAGCAGGACTGGAGGGTGGGTTTTGAGCCTATTCTGCACTTGAAGGAGGAAAGTGAAGTGGAGGCCTTCCATCTGCTAGAGAATTGAAAGCAAAAGCTGGATTAGGCAAATCTTGCCTTCTTTGCATTTCGACTCGCATCTCAGTGATCTGTTGCATCAGCTGCATAATTAACTCGTTCTGATCGACGATGATGGGCTGAGCCACAACAACATCTGTTAAGCCAATATCCTCAACATTATTGCCCATTGTTGACTTACCCTTCTGAGAACTTTGATTGGGAAAGGAATCTGTAGGCCCTTTTGATCTTGTAAAGTAGGGATGTTCAGCCAGCTTATCAACACAGATCAGTACTAACTACCTGTAGAGGAAAATAACTCAAAGGCAAATCTGTTAGTTTTGATTCAGGACAAATAATGCAAAATATCACATAGAGGGCATATAAACACATAAGAGTTGCATTGTTTGAGGACATGTTAACCAACGAATAATGGGGACTTATTTTTTGAACAAGCAGGAATTTGCC